TCATATTTTTTTCCTTATTTTCGTTGCTCATTCGATAAAATAATATAGTCACGTCACCTCTTGTTTCGTAGAATTTTTTATGTAGTTTTTAATATGTCAAGTTTTTTTTAATTTCCTCCCATTTCTATGATAAATTACATTGAAAATAACGTCAATCAAACATTGTAAATCGAAACATGCAATTCAAATTGAAACTAGGGAGTATTATTTAATTTCACCCTAATTCTCATATAAACTGAATTGAAAATAATTTTGACCAGACATCGTAAACCAAAATAGGCCGTTTAAAATGAGACGGGGGGATATGATTATTATTGCTATAACATCCCTAAACAAAAAAATTATACCAAAATTTACTCATGTGTTTTGAAGAAAGTGTGTTTGAAAACTTCAACTTGAATTAGGGATAGATGCAAGAAGTACAAAAATAAGAGAAACATAAAAAATGGGTCGGGGGAGAATACCTCAAAATAACTCTAATGTGAAAACGGTTACGCAATTAGTTAAGTCTATAAAATTTTTTAATCGTTAATATACTATTTCTTATAATGTCACTACGCAACATTAGAGCATCGGCACTGGCGTAGATTTGTCACTGCCACGCTGCCACATCATTAGTTTTTATAAAATGCCTTGCAAGGCATGGGTAGTTTGCCAAGCTTTACATTCCATGCGCAAGTCAATTTCTCCTCTTTTTTTGTTTTTTCATAAAATACAAGATTTTTTAAAAGAAATAGAAAGATTTTTTTATAAAAAAGATAACAAAAATAATTTTTAATAATTAAAATATGTCAAAAAAGTATAAAAACTGATAAAATCAATTACTTGCCACAGCAAAACATGCCACTCCACTCACTTGTCACACGCTGACTGAATTATTTTTTATTGGTTGAAATGTGTCACGTCAATGTGTTGCATTCCATTTTTATACTTGCCATTGTTGATGCTCTTAGTAAGTCCTATGTTTTTAACCTTATTAATTTTTCTAACATAATCTTTTGATCTTACCATTCTTTTGTATGGTGGAAAAGTTTTCTTATTAAAGAATTGCAAATATTTGTGCTTACATTATCTAAACTAGACTCTAACCTGTGCGATGCACGGTATGAATATAACAACAACAACAATAATAATAATAATAATAATAATAAAAGTTACATTTCCATCAATCAGTAGTGTGTGGTAAAAAGAAAATTGGAAAAGGTAAATATTCTAGATAACTTCTATATACACACAAATCCAAATGTGATTTAAAGAATTTTTTCTTCATTGTAACCCGCAAGTCAAAATCTTACAGAGAATTATTTTCTTTAAATTCTGAAAGAATTGTGTGTGTGTGTGTGTACACGGAATAATGATTCACAATTCTCATTAAGATTTAGGCCAAATATATATAGCCTTGTACAAGAGATTTGGGTGATCTAAACTACCATAATTAACAATAATTAAATAAATACAATTATTCACACCAAGATACAATATCAAATAAATAGGAGTAAATTATCTTCAATACGCCCCCGCAAGATGGAGGATCCATTTGAGATTCCAATCTTGGACCGAAATTTGTAGAAGAGAAGACGCGAAAGCGGTTTTGTGAGAATGTTAGCTAAATGATCCGAAGAGCGCACATGGGCTACACGAAGGGCCCCATACGAAACCAACTCTCTGACGAAAAAGTAATCCAATGCTAAATGCTTCATGCGCGAGTGGAACACCGGATTCTTGCAAACATGAAGAGCACTGATATTGTCACAGTAAAGAAGAGGAGACTCAGTCAGAGGGATGTGAAGTTCTCGAAGCAGACTCTGAACCCATTGCAATTCTGCCACGGTGTTCGCGAGAGCACGATACTCAGCCTCCGTCGAAGACCGAGACACACTTTTTTGCCGTTGAGACTTCCATGAGATAATATTGGGACCAAAATAAAGCACATACACCGTGGTAGATCGCCCCCCATCGGTGATACCGCCCCAATCAGCATCAGAAAAGGCGGTGAGCCGAGAAGGAACCTGGTTCGATAAGAATAAGCCATGAAGAATAGTGCCTTTGAGATAACGAAGAAGACGCTTGAGAGCAGCCCAGTGCCGAGCGGTGGGATGATTCATGAACTGAGCAAGTTTGTTCACGACGAAGGAAACATCTGGTCGGGTCAGAGCAAGATACTGGAAACGGCCAATAAGACGGCGGTAGGCCGTGACATCCACCGGGGAAGCGTCAATCAAAAGTGTAGGAATAGCGTCAGACTACATGGGAGTGGCTATGTCCTTCGCCCCTGTCATGGAAGCATCATCAAGAATGTCCATGATATATTGAGATTGGGACAGAAACAGGCCATTACTAGTGGAAATCACCTCAACCCCAAGAAAGTGTAATACCCTGTATCAAGTTTGGAATGAGAAGAGCTCAAAAGGATAGATAGTACTAATCATACCAACAAGGTGCATCTTCTTTTTCGAGAGCTCATCATCTAGAAACTCTAAAGTTAAGCGTGCTTGACCTGGAGCAATTTTAGAATGGGTGACCCCCTAGGAAGTTTTCCTTGGCCGCGCACGAGTGAGGACAAAGTGTGCGGGAAAGACTTGTGTTGGTTTGTGGGGCCACTCTACAATCCTATAAGCGGACACTTACGGCTAGGGAGGGGGTCGGGGTGTTACAAATGGTATCAGAGCAACCCTGCGACCGTGACGGGCCAAAAGAGCTTAGTTCGCCTAGCGGGGAAGATCTATGGGTTCAAAAAAATATGCAACGATGACATTGCATTCCTCAGTGGGGGTGAATCCGTGAATGTAATATCCCGTATCAAGATTGGAATGGGAAGAGCTCAAAAGGATTGATAGTACTACTCATACCAACAAAGTGCATCTTCTTTTTCGAGAGCTCATCACCTAGAAACTTCAAAGTTAAGCGTGCTTGACCTGGATCAATTTTAGGATGGGTGACCCCCTGGGAATTTTTCCTTGGGCGCGCACGAGTGAGGGCAAAGTGTGCGGGAAAGACTTGTGTTGGTTTGTGGGACCAGTCTACAATCCTATGTGCGGACACTTACGGCTAGGGTGGGGGCCAGGGTGTTACAGAAAGTGATTTAACGGGCCTAGATCTTTGAGAGAGAACGCAGTAGCCAAAGCACTCGCAAACTTGTCAAGAAACACCGAATTACTTCCTGTAAGAATAATATCATCAACATAGACAAGAAAGTAAGCCGTAATACCATCCTGATGATAGACAAAGAGAGACCCATCAGATTGGGCCTTCCGAAAACCACTCTGTAGAATGAAACGAGACAGTGCCTCATACCATCCTGATGATAGACAAAGAGAGACCCATCAGATTAGGCCTTCCGAAAACCACTCTGTAGAATGAAACGAGACAGTGCCTCATACCATGCCCGAGGAGCTTGCTTCAGTCCATACAAGGCCCAAGATAACCTGCATACGTGAGATGGAAAAGCAGGGTCAACATAACCAGGAGGCTACTCCATAAATACCTATTCCTCCAACCTGCCATGTAAGAAAGCATTGTTCACATCAAGTTGGCGCAAAGGCCAGTGGTTAGCCAAAGCAATGCTAAGAACCAAACGAATGGTGAACGTCTCAAAGTAGTCACGACCCGCCTCCTGAAGGTACCCCTTAGCCACTAGACGTGCCTTGTAACGCTCAACTGAGCCATCAGCTTTCGGTTTCACACGGAAGATCCACTTGCACCCGATTGGCCGGTGAGAGGCGCGTGGAACAAGGGTCCAGGTTTGATTCCGGAGGAGAGCCTGGTACTCAGCATCCATTGCCTCCCGCCAGCGAGGATCCTTGAGAGCTTGAGCAACAATCTTAGGTTCATGGGTAAGGGGAAGTGGGTGTTTGGTGGCGTGATTAATGAGAGGGGAAGCTGAGATGAAGTCAGAGTTGAAATACCGAACATTGGGACGACGATTGCGAACTGGGCAAGGTGGCGGAGACGCAGTCGCCGATGAAGTAGAAGAGACTAGAGTGGGTGATGGTGATGACTGGACAGGGACGGTGTCCGAGATGTGGGGGGGTTGGTTAAGAGGCGGAGAGACAGGGGTGATCGGCGGCATAGGGGACGCCATCGGGGCAAACCGAGGAGATATGACTGGGTAGGAGGCCGGAAGTGACAGGCCGTTTGGGGCGCAAAGAGTAGCAACAGACGGGTAAGGAAAGATATGAGGAACAAACTGAACATGACGGGAGATGTAGACACGATTAGTGGACAGATCAAGACATTTATACGCAGATTGAGACGTGGAGTAGCCCACAAAGACACATGGGGAGGACCGAGGCTGAAGTTTTTTGGTGTTGTAAGGACGCAGCCACGGATAACAGAGGCACCCAAATGGTTGAAGTTTGAGATAGTTGGGCAGGGTATGGAAAAGTTTTTGTAAGGAGATGTGGAATCAAGAACGGGAGTAGGCATGCGGTTAATAAGGTAAACAGCAGTTAGGAAGGCAAATGACCAGTATTTGAGAGGCATGTGTGCATGATGGAGCAGAGAGAGGCGAGTCTCAACGATATGACGATGACGTCGCTCTGCTGAGCCATTATGCTCTGGAGTATGAGGTGGTGTGGTAAGATGGGATATGCCAAAAGTGGAAAGCATGGGACGCAGTTTAATGAATTCACCCCATTATCAGAAAAATGGTAACGATTTTGCGTTTAAAAAAGTTTTCCACCAAATTTTTGAATTGAGGAAAAACTTTAAAAACATCAGATTTGTGGGAAAGCGGGTATAGCCACACATATTTAGTATAGTGATCCACAAAAATAACATAATAGAGATGACCATCTACAGTGCGTTCCTTACACAACCAAACATCAGAATAAATAAGTTCTAGAGGAGCAGAACTGACAAGGGAATTATCATGAAAAGGCAATTTGTGACTTTTATTAATAGCACACGAAAAGGAATGAAGCGACTGAGTGGAAGGCGTAGTGTGGTGACTAGCTCCAGAATCAAACAACCATTGCGGAGGAGCTGTAGCCGGATAGACCCCTGTGGAGTGAGCCACAGGCGGGGGAGAAAGACCATGGTGACGAAGGAATTGGCATCCACTGCCCGCAGTGAACCGTGCGGTTCTACCAGTCGTCTACCCACGACTGCGACGGTTTGCGGAGGAACCACTGTCACGACCGCTGTCACGGTGATGCTGACCAAACCGAGAACTCCCACCGCCACCAGATTGCTGCTGAGTGTAATTGGTAGTGGCGAGGGATAGAGTGCGAGTGGCTTCCGACAGCTGAATTTTCTTTTCGTGCTCCTTTAGAATATCCCCAAGTTCTTTGAACGAAAGTGGTTCGGCACGAACACGGGCAGCAGAGGTGGAGTCATATTCATCACCCACTTGGTTGAGGACATGAACAACTAGGTCTTCCTCCAAAATCGGACTCTGAACCAATACCAGTTCATTGGCAATGGATTGCATATCAAAGAGATAATCGGACATCGAACGATCACCTTTAGGGTTTTTGCCTAATTGTGATTTGAGGGAGACGATACGGCCGCGGTTGGAGCTGGCAAAGGCGGCATGAAGATTCGTCCAGGCCTCACACGCGGTTTCACAGGTGGAGATAAGCGGCTGGACCTGATCGGAACAACTGCCAAGTAAGGCTCCAATGATAGATTGATCTTGGCGGAACCATATAGAATAGCAAGGGTTGGCCGCTCCTTCAAGGACTTTCGGTGGCGCATGGAGAGTACCGTCAACATACCTGATGAGATCAAGAGCGATGAGCAAACCTGGCACTGCCAAATGGAGAAGTTGGTGGAGATCAATTTGATAGGAAAGTGCATCTTGGTGTGGAGTTGAACCACGGGGTGTCCTTGGTGATGATGGGTGCCATGGGATGCGACGAGAGGAAGCCTGAGATCGTCGAAGAGAGGCTTGGAGGTGGCCGGCGATGGACGCACGGCGCTTGGGTTACGGCGTTAGGTTTTGGGAGAGGAAAGAATTTTCTTTAAGGCTCTGATACCATATACAGAATAATGATTCACAATTCTCATTAAGAGTTAGGCCAAATATATATAGCCTTGTACAAGAGATTTGGGTGATCTAAACTACCATAATTACCAATAATTAAATAAATACAATTATTCACACCAAGATACAATATCAAATAAATAAGAGTCAATTATCTTCAATAATACAGAGTATATATATATATATATATATATATATATATATATATATATATATATATATATATATATATATATATATATATATATATATATATATATATATATATATATATATATATATATATATATATATANAGGCATGAGTGTGGCACTTCATCCTTCTTTTTTTATTTTTTTTAAAAATTTTTTATGAAAAAAATGTATAAGAAAGTAGAATAATTTTTTAATAAAATTATGTTTTAAAAACATAAAAAAAATGTAAAAAAGTGATAAAAAATAATGACTTGCCATTGTAGGACTTGCTACTCCATTCACTTGTCACACGCTGACTGAACTATTTTTTATTAGTTAAAATGTTCCATGTCATCGTGTGACATTCTATTTTCGACTTGTCATTGTTGATGCTCTTACCATTTACCACTACTTTCATAAACATCAACACACCACGTCACCATTCCACCAAAAGTCCAAGAGACTTTACACGTGGTCATTCTTGTCGGCGTGTCCGGCAAACGGCCGTAGCTGCCATTGCAAAGTCAGTCAGCGACGACTGATGCTGATGAACGGTAGAAATTCACCATCGGAAACGAGGGTAGTAGACCAACTAACTCATCGTCTTCGGAAATCTGTTCGCCGGTGTCGAAACAACGACTACGGACTACGGAGTAGTAAGCTAAAACAGCATGGAGAACTGCATTTACAGAGACCCTAGAGCGCCGGTGGAGGCGCGAGTGACCGATCTTCTCTCCCGAATGACCCTCCATGAGAAACTAGGTCAGATGACCCAAATAGAACGCTCCGTCGCCACTCCTTCCGTCCTCGCAGACCTCTCTATCGGTAAAACTCGCACAAACCCCTCAATTGCTCTTCCTCTGATTATCCGGGAAATAGTGTGATTTGCTCTGCACATATTAAGGGTTTTAGTTATTCATATTCTCTTTGGAATTTAGGGAGTGTATTGAGTCTGGGTGGGAGCTCTCCCTTTGAGAATGCCTCGTCGGAGGATTGGGCTGAAATGATTGATGGTTTCCAGAGGTCGGCATTGGAATCGCGGCTGGGCATTCCGCTGCTGTATGGGGTTGATGCTGTTCATGGAAACAACAATGTCTATGGTGCCACCATTTTCCCTCATAATATTGGCCTCGGAGCTACCAGGTCCATTCAATTAGTTCAGACATCTTCTCTTTCTGACATCTGGGATTGTTTCTAATGGAAACCTGACTCAATAGTGTGTTGAATTTGGGGTATTCAGGGATGAGGAATTGGCACGGAAGATTGGAGTTGCCACCGCTCTTGAAGTCCGGGCTTGCGGCAGTCAGTATACCTTTGCTCCCACTGTGGCTGTGAGTTTAAGAACATATGCTACCTTGGAAAAACACATATTTAAGGGCTTGAACTTTGTTGTCCTATCGGGCTTTCTAAAGCTAACTAGGCATATCGTCAAGTTCAAACATAAGCCCCATAAGAGTGTTTTTTGGCATCATTTTGTGATCGAACCCTGTTCCCAATAAATGGAGTCCAGATGTTAGGCCATTGGGGTTTTTTTCTCTGGCATTCCATTTCTTTCGCTCCCTTCATGTTGTGGAATAATGTATTGTAAAGATAGGTCTAGAAACATCCATGATGTATGCATTTATGGTCTCGCGGTTATCGCCCATGATGTCATTGGATAGTTTTCTAATGTGTATAGATTCTTGCACTCTTCATAATTTATTATCACAAAAAGTAGAAAATTTCCCCTCTGCTTTCACATATTTAAACCTGGCATGGATCTTGAATGGTCATCCTGTTGTTGAAACAGGTGTGTAAAGATCCCAGATGGGGAAGATGTTATGAGAGTTTTAGTGAAGACACTGATATTGTTAGGAAGATGTCATCCATCATTTCTGGATTACAAGGACAACCACCAAACGGGCACCCATTTGGATATCCATTTCTAGCGGGAAGGTAGCATTAATTTATTTTTTTTGAAATTTGAATCAATCTCATCACATTCCCCACTTGTTAGAACTTGCTGGAACACATCTTGTTCTGTTACTTGATATGCAATTCTTATATTTGTTGTGTCATTTTCATTTGTTGAATGGATAATTTAAGCTTGAACGGACATACATTAGATTAGACAAACCTATAAAATTACAACTGTCTAGTTCGAGCTGAAAACTTATTTACCATCTTAGCTCATGCTCACTAACTAACATATTGTAACCACTAATTATCATAATATATTCCCTCATATACGGAACATATGTTAACTCTTATCTAATGGAGACTATTAAAAGCATGAAGAGACCCTTATCCAGAAAAAAAGTCAAAAAAAATGAAAGCTAATTCCAAAATCTTGTGTCTATGCTTTGTAATTCATTACCTGGTCTTCATATATGCACAGAATAAGGTAACACATTTATTTAGAGGAGGTTCCGATGATGAACCTTAGAGGTGCATTTTGGACATGGGAAATAACATGAGAAGAAAAATTGGGGGGACACTGTGTTTATGTATGCATAAAAAAAACCTGTTTCGTTTTCCTTTGCATTTGCTTTAGCTAAACCTTAACATAGGAAAACAGCTTTCTTCAATTTTTTTCCCCATTTCCTAGTATTTTCTGTGATCCGAACATACCCTAAACTTGTGGTTCATTGCCTCTCCATGGAGTCATGCACATTTAACCCACCAATGTGTTTTTCACCAGGGACAATGTGGTAGCCTGTGCAAAGCATTTCGTTGGAGATGGGGGTACTCATGATGGTATAAACGAGGGGAATACCATGTCATCATACGAGGAGTTGGAGAGTATCCATCTGGCTCCTTACATTGACTGTCTGTCCCAGGGCGTCTGCACTATTATGGCATCCTACACCAGCTGGAATGGGACCCCAATGCACACTAGTAAATATCTCCTTACAGATGTGCTGAAAGGAAAGCTGGGGTTCAAGGTAATAACATTGACCCTTTCAATCTTTGGCACAAGTTTTACGCATTCAGTTGGATGATTCTTTCATGTGTGTGATAAATTTCTCATATTTTTCAAGCATGTGCCACTTGTGAGATATTTGTGTGCTATTTGGTGCATCATTGTAGGATTAGTCTAAATTCTGCTAGTCGCTAGTCGGGGGATTTTGAAGGGGATGGAACTCATGGAAGGGGGGTGGGGATTTTATTTTTAAATTTGATCTTACATTTAGATGGCTAGAAAGAAAGTGAAGATTAAAAGTTACGAAGCATATAAATATAATTATTTTCTATTCAAAGACTAACAAATAAAGATGAGTGCAAAAGAAAATGCAAGTTATTGATAAATGATGTGCACTGCTACTGAGTATGTAGTAGCAGCAGCAACAATGATACTTTGTTCATTAATTCATCATCTGATACCGAAATGATATAGTATCTCTACCTTTAAAAGGGAGGGTAAGGTCCACGTACACTTACCCCTCCCAGCACTGGGTTGTTCTAAATGGTTTAGTGTGCTAGAAGGTAGATGTAATGTGTTATGCTTTGCAGGGCTTCATCATAACTGATTGTGCAGCACTTGACAGACTCTCTAAGCCTTTTGGATCAAATTATCGGCGTTGCGTTCTGCAAGCCATCAGTGCTGGAATTGATATGGTACCTTAATCATATAATGAATTACTCCCTATCCACACACACACAAACACCAAAAGTAAAAAAGAAAAAATCATATTTGAACAAAAATAGTCATGTTCAAACAAAAGAATATAATTCCTCATTGTATTTAATGTATTTTTTGTGTTCCAAACAAGTTATTTATGTTAAATTTAGTTAAACCAATTTACAAATATGAGTAGAATTGATGATTTCCAATGGTTTACCTTGCGAAAATGTAAAAGTTATACCTTAGTAAACTAAAATCTTTTTTGGGTACGTAGGTAGTAACTATATCTCCAAAGTCTACAAATTTAATTTTCATTGCTTAACTGGGTTCATAATTCATACAGAACATTAGTTAATAGTTAATTTACAGGTAATGGTACCCTTGCGTTACCAACTATATCTTGATGATCTTAGAATGCTGGTTGAATCTGGGGAGATACCAATGTCCAGAATTGATGATGCTGTTGAACGGATTCTGAGAGTGAAGTTTGTAGCTGGACTCTTTGAGTACCCACTGAGCAATAGGTCATTGTTAGATAAAGTTGGTTGTAAAGTAAGCCTAGCACAGCCCTCTCCGTACTAGTAATTTTTCTTCTATATCTAATTCACGCTAAACAAGTTAAATCATTTAATTGACGTTATATCATTAGATTATTATGGACAAACTAAGAATAGGCAAAACTATTACTAGGCTTGTCTAACAAGTTACAATAAACTCAAGGGAATCACATTAACGTAACATTACCTCATTTTCCTATATAGAGTTAATATTAGATTACCTGGTAATCTAAAAACCTATCTAACACTATGTTTATCACGTTACCTAGGTATGATCTTTAACTGTGCGAATGTGCGATGATTGTTTCAGCTACACAGGGAACTGGCACGTGAAGCAGTTCGCAAGTCTTTGGTTCTTCTGAAGAATGGAAAGGATATTACAAAACCATTCCTTCCCCTCGACAAGAATGCTAAACGCATTCTTGTTGCTGGACAGCATGCTGATGATCTCGGATTTCAGTGTGGTGGGTGGACTAAAACTTGGGATGGACAAGGTGGCCGAGTTACTATTGGTAAGTTATATTGTGGCCAAGTGGTAAACCCAAACAAAACAACACAAAAATCAAATCTTTTGGGTAATTGTTATGATTGTTTTGCCAATTCAATCATCCTTTGAAACTAGAGAGTCGATACCAAATTGTTCAAATAA